TTCTTTTTTCCTATGCTGTCTTTACTCTGAATCTGTAGAAATGGAAGACCCTTGTACCTTCCCGGTCAGAGATAGGGCTTGTTAGTGAAGTGTTTACTGTAGATAGAGTAGGCCCGTGTGTTAATGCCAATCTATTCTTCAGTCACGTCAACCAGGCAGACTGCCAGGTGCTCACGGGAGACTGTCCAGCTCCCTCACAGATGCTGCCTGCTTCTGCTCTGCGCCCTTCCACGCTGATCTTAGAACTTCACATCAGTCGCTGCTCCAGGGGCTGCAGCTGACAACCGCAGAATCTATTCACGGAAAACTGTTCAAATAGTCCTGCTCAGAGAATGAGGACAGCCCCGTAGCCATTCATTTGGACTTGAGCTGAGCAGTTCTAAGACTGACTGACTCTCTCTCTCTCTCTACCTCTCTCTCTCTCTCTCTCTCTCTCTCTCACACACACACACACACACACACACACACACGCACCACTTAACTCACCAGAATGAAGATGGATTTGCTCTGTCTCTCAGGCAGTATTGCAAGTTCATTAAAGAACATCCTAATGTTTGTTTCGACAGTGCTCTGCTCTGGGCTAGGCAATTCTACATTAGCAATACTTGAAACTGGCTCCCAGAGCGCCTCGCTCCTTCACTGAATTTGCAGTGTCTTGTGGAAGTCTCCAGACTTACAAGGTGCTACAGTGAAGGAGGCTGTACCTGCCTCCACACTTCTTGGATGAGAAAACTGAAGTCCAGAAAGGGGAAGCCGCTTCCCCCAAACTGAAAGTCAGCTGGTACCGGAACTCCGGTATCTGAGTATTGGGTTTCTCGACTGTCTCCAAAGTAATGCCCCTAAAGGGAGCACCCAAGGGGTGTATTTCTTCAAACAGCTTTGTTAGGATCTAACTTAAATACTGTACAATTCACCCACTTAAAGGGCACCGTTCAGTGGCTTTCGTATACTAAGGTCTATGCAGCCATCTCTGCAATCAATTTTAAACATTTTTGTTATGCTAGAAACAAAGTCCATACCTCTTAGCTGTCCTTCCACAAATATCCCTTCTCCCCATCTCTAAGCAGTCACTAATCCGCTTTTGTCTCTATGAAATTTTCCTCTTCTGAGTATTTAATATAAATTGAATCATACAATATGTGGTCTTTTGTGACTGGTTTTTCTTACTTACATATTTTAGAGGTTCATCCATGTTGTGGCATGTATCAGAATTTTATTAAATGTTTCTAGATGAGTAATGCTCCATTATATAGATAGACTACATCTGGCTTATCAGTTTATTAGTAGGTGGGCATCTAAATATTTTCCACTTCTTGACTATTATGTAAAATACTGATATGAATATTTGTGCACAAGTTTCTCTGTAGATGTATATTTTCAGTTCTTCTGGGTATATGTCTTGGAGTCGAACTGCTGGATCACATAGTCATTCTATGTTAAACAATTTAAGGGCCAGGTGACCGAAGAGACTGCATTCTTTTACATTTCCGCTAGCACGGTGTGTGGCTCAGAGTCCTCCATTTCCTCAACAACACTTGTCACTGTCCTTTTTATTCTAGCACATCATAGTGAGTGTGAAGTTATATCACATTTGGGGTTTGATTTACATTTCCTTCACAGCTAATGACAATGAAACATCTTTTTGTGTGCTTATTGGGCATTTGTATATTTTCTTTGGAAAAATGTCTGTTTATATTCATTGCACATTTTTAAATTGGACTCTTGGTCTTTTTATCATTCAGTTGCAATATCCTTCATATACCTAGTATTACGTGTAACTTGCCATATTTCTTTCCATTCTCTGAGTCATCTTTCTATTTCCTTGATGGTATACTTTGAAACATATATTTTAAAATTTTAATAAAGTCAAATTTAACTATATTTTTCTTCTGTTTGCTTGCGCTTTTGGTGTCACATCTAAGAAACCTTTGCCCAACCCAATCACAAACATTTACAACAGTTGTCTTCTAAAATTTTCACAGTTTTAACTCTCATATTTAGGTCTTTGATCCATTTCGAATTATATTTTTCATATATGGTGTGAGACAGGGGTCAAAATTGCTCTTGCATATGGCTATCCAGTTTTCCAGAGGTATTTGTTAAATTCTCCCATTGGAATTGATTTGGCACCCTTGTCAAAAATCAATTCATGTAAATGTTAGGGTTTATTTCTTGACTCTTGATACTAGTCTATGCTCTGTGTATCTGTCTTATAATGATACTATCCTGTCTTGATTATTATAGCTTTGTAGCTTTAGAAGTGGGAAATGTGAGTCTTTTTTGTGTTATTTCCAAGGTTGTTTTGTCTATTCTGGATCCTTTATAATTCCCTACAAACGTTAGGATTGATGAGCAGTTTCTGAAAGTAAGTTAGTTAGGATTTTGATAGAGATTGAATTACTCTATGGTCAATTGGGGAATATTGCCATTTGAACACTAGCAACTCTGACAAGCTATGAAATAAGATGTCTCTATTTTTTAGGTCTTCTTTATCTCATTATAACAAGATAGTTTTCAGAGTATATATTTTGCACTTTTTTAATGCCATTGTAAATGAAAATGTTTTCCCTTTTTTCCCCTTTATGTGAGAGAGGCAGAGATGACAGGGAAGGGGAGAGAGAGAGATGTTGGTATTTTTGGAAGGGTCTTTCTACGTTGTGATCCTCCGCTCCAGCCTTCCAATTAGTGAGAAACACAGTTGTGTGCAGCCGCACCCAGCATGTTCAGGGTGGCCCAGGAACCAAATCCACACCTCCCATCAGCTTCCAACCTCCCAAGCAATGGTGCTACCTGTATATCACCTTGGCTGGTTAGCATGAGCATAAGCATGCTCATTTATTCTGCATAGAAATGCAATTGACTTTGTCTATTAATTTTGTTACCTTGCCAGAGAAAGAGTGAAAGAGAGAAAGAGAACCCCCCCCCCAGTGGGATGCAGTCATGCTACAATTATTTTCCTCTATTTCTCCTTCCCACCAGGATTTTGGGCATAAATACTAACTCATCTGGCATATTTTTGAAGTCACTGGATCCAGGATTTGAAACACGTTTGGCAATGTGGGATCTGGCTTCCAATGCACGACTCTAAGCCATTATGCTCTTGCATATTGACTTTGCATCCCGCAACCTTGCTAAACTTGTTTATTGATTATTATAGTTTTTAAATAGATTTCTTAAGATTTTCTATATATAATATCATGTCGTCTGCAAGTTTTTCTTCATTCTTTTCAACCTGAATGCCTTTTATTCTTCTTCTTGCCTGATTCTCTGGTCTATTTCCAGGATGATGATGAATAGAAGTGGTGAAAGCAGTAATTCTTGTCTTTTCCTGATCTTGGGAAGAAAACATTCAGTATTTCACCACTGAATATTACATTAGCTGTGGGGTTTTCGTAAATAGCCTTTATCACATTGAAGAAGTTCCCTTTAGCTTATGTTCTTTTTATTATGAAGGGGTGCCGTACTTTGTCAGATATCACCTGTAACTATCGGTTATGTGGCTTTTGTCTTTTACTTTATTAAAGTGGTATATTGCATCAGTTGATTTTTAAATGGAAAACCGAGCTTGCACTCCTGGGATAAATACCACTTGATCATGGTATGTAACTTTTCTTTATTTTTAGATTTTATTTTCTAGTATTTTTTGAGAACTTTTGTGGCTATATTCATAAAATATTTTGGCCTGCCATTTTATTGGGGAGAGGGTGGGTGTCTTTGGTTTTAGTATCAGGATAATACTAGCATCATAAAGTTAATTAAGAAGTGATCACTCCTGCTTCATTTTATAGAAGAGTTTTTGGCAAATTAGTAATAATTCTTCTTTAAATGTTTGTTAGAATTCACTAGTGAATTTGTCTTGGTCTTTCTTTGTGAAAAGTTTTTACTAATAAGTCAGTCTCTTTAGTTATAAGTCTATTCAAATTGTCTGTTTATTCTTGAGTCAATTTAGGTATTTTGTGTCTTTTTGGAATTTTTTCCCACTTCATATAAGTTATATAATGTATTATCATACAGCTGTTCATAGTATTTCTTTATAATTTGTTTTATTTTTCTAAGGTCTGTAGTAATGTGTAGATACAATTTTAATTGCTTATGTCAAGAGCACAGTATATTTAACTTTTTAAAAATTATATAAAAAATCATATGAACATACCTATTTTGATATGACATTATTTGCTATTAAGTAAAATTGAAGTATCAGGAAATTTATCCTGTAATTTTACCACACTCTGCAAGCAAGTTTGAGATGCATCATGACAAGATAAATTCTCCTACGTCAGCATTCCTACCTCTCCATGATGTGACTCCTCATCCAGCTAGTCCTAACTTTGCTAAGATCCGAAGTTGAATGACCAGTATTCCACAGTTCACTTACAAGCTGGAGGAGCAGAACCAGAGAGTTAACAGGTGGAGTTATGCAGGTGGACCATCCCATTAAACTTTACTGTATTCTTGCAAGGAGTGACGGGAAGTCATTGTGTTAGTGGGTGTGTATGTGAGTGGCATGTATCTTTCTTCTCTTTTATAAATGGCAGTGAAGAGACACCGGTAACAGCTAGTCTCTTTTTATCTCTGGGAAAACAACAGCAAAAACTAACTAGCCAAAGTGAAGTCTTCTCCCCTAAATGAACACCAGAACAAAAAGTTCTGACCAGAGTTAACATTTTAAGTTATTTACTTTACTGAAAGTCCTGTTTCTTTCGATTTCTGCAAGTGAGATCTTAGCCAACGTTTAGATGTCCTTTGCTTATAAATAAACAAACAAAAAGTTTAACAGTATTTTTATAATAAACTGTAGCAGCCACATAAATCTAACGTAGAAATCATATCTTACTGTATACATCAGCTATAATATTTCTCCAGCCTCTTAAAATTAAATACTGGAATTAATCATAAATTCATTGTTCAGCTTTAGAAGCTAGCAATGATAATCATTGTTGTATCGTGTGTTAAATTCATCATAATAAACATATATTCTATTTGCTCTTTATTTTTCTTAGAAAAACTGTTCTTGAAAACCACCTGCTATTTAGTGATCCAGATGTTTGGCCCGGACATCGTAAAACTGTAAGTACGCCGTGCTGTGGAAGTCTGGCACAGCTGCTGGGACACGGGAGAAAGCAGGGCCCCTGGGAGACAGACGAGGACTTTGCTTTCAGCCCCATGTACCTACTGAACAAGGGCCTGAGCTGTTATTCGGGTTCTTGCCAATAGTGGGGAGTGGGAACCTGACTCAGACCCTTTTTCACCAGGGCAAAGCTTCCCGCTGGATTGCAGTGTCAGTCCAGCTCCGTTTTCCCTCACGGGCCTTTCAGAGGGAATGCCACAGCAATGCCACCAGCCATGACTCGGCCTGCTGGCCCAGCATGGGCAATGGACCCTTTCTCCTGAGCTCCCCAACCTGTCTCAGCCCTTCCCTGCGCTCCCTCCCCAACTCTCCCCACCCACTCCTTGGGGTCTTCCCTCTCCTCCTCCTTTGGCTGGCTTCCTGGCCCTCGCCACCTCTCCAGCCCCAGTCCTGGCCCCTTGCCATTTTTATGACCTGCTCGCTTGGTTTCTTGGTTTATCTTTTCTGAGCTCGGGGTACTGGACCAGATAAACCATGTTTCTCCGTTCATGGCACTTTCTCATCAACAAACCATACATGGCTTTCTTATATTATTACTTAGTTATTACTCGGTTACTTCAAATAATAGAATAAGCTTTCAAACCCTCTGCCCCAAACGCGGTCTGGGACCTTGAGGGTAACTTAGCCTCGACATACGTCCCTTTCTTCCCTACTCCGATTTCTCTCCCAGGGAGCATCATCTAAATCTCGTGTTCATCCTTCTCTTGCTTTCTATCAGAAAACTGACAGAAACTCTTCTAGAGTTGAATTACACAGTTCAAGTTACTGATTGTTATATAACACACGTGTTATGTGTAGATACCAGGTCATAACATACATGTTATGTGTAGATACCAGGTCATAGCATACGTGTTATATGTAGATATCAGGTCATAACATATGTGTTATGTGTAGATACCAGGTCATCAGAAAAGTCATGGTCAGCACTACATTGCATTCTTTTTTGTATCTCCATAAGGTTCTTATCAAAATACCGTCTCTATGGGTTTTTTTTTTTGGAGAGTTTTTTTTTTTTCCGCTATAGGGCATGTGCACTCGCCAGACAGACAGAGAGAGACAGAGAGACAGAAAGCAAGGAATCACCCCCCAGGGGGGATGATCACGCCGCAATCCCTTCTCCTCCATTCTCCTCTCGGGATCTTGGGCACACACGCACACGCGCCCGGCGTGAATTTAAGCCACCGGGTCTGGGACACGAACTGCGGTCAACTATGTGGGAGTCCAGTGATATAGACATTATGCTGACTGCTGGTTCCCCTGTCTCTATGTTTATGTGAAGAGGGGAGGAAGGAAAAAAGGAAAGAATGAAGGAAGAAAGAAAGGAAAGAAAGGAGAGAGCTTTGTATCTCTAGAGCCTGTCGTAACCACTCGAGCGCATAGTCTTCAACAAAAGCTAAAATAATAAATTCTTTAAATGAACAAATTTTTAACTACAGATGAGCTACAACTATACTGTTCCAAAGAAAAGTTGAACGTATTAAAAAGAAAAAAATAAACTTTTAGCCTAGTCGATGAACTGTTTACATACCTAGCAGAGCCGACTGGAGGAAATGTCAGTTTGGAGGGTGAGGTCCCACTGGCCCTGTATAGGAAGCCAGGCAAGCTGCTGTCTCGGAAGTCAAAGGGGACAGTACCTGCAGATATCCAAAAGGGGGTGCCAGAGAGCAGCTACAAAGGGGCATGTCCTGGGAGGAAAAGGGAAGTGACCTGGGTCAATGCGGAAACCATTGCTCTTCTACAATGGGCTACGAAGTGGTGAGTGTGAGAGTCAGCTAAGCACAAGAATAAAAATGTATAAAATAGATTAAATTAAACTAAAACAAGACAAAAAAGAAGAGAACAGAAAGGTACCAAGAAGTGTACATGCAGGCTGTACAGATGTGAGCCGTGTAAGAGGCAGTGGGCACAGGTGTTAAGAAAGACTAGATCACATAAGTCACTGGAAAGGACCCCATTGCTGAGTAGGTGGGGAGAGAAGAGGAGTTAATTTTTTCTCTAAACTGACTAATTCTTGCTAGCATGAGTTGGGCCACTTTGGGGGGGGATAATAAATGACACCCTCGCCCACCATGGTCCTGTTCACTGTCCGTTTGTAATTCCGCAGTACGTGCATTGTCAGCTGTGTCCTGTTGGAAACTTCTCCTCACAGAGTGTGCTCTCCTTAGCTTAGGCAATCAGATATAGCTCCAGGTCGATGTAGCCCTGAAAATGACAACCTCGTCTTCCAGTTTACCTGAATATCAGTCTTCTAATATTAAACGTATTTCCTGCCCAAAAGGCATCCCTCCTCATGACTTCACACCAGCCAGTTCTCAGTCACTCATAGACTAATTATTCGGCAACTGCATTTCCTACCCAGAGGCAGAGCCACAGGGTGTTATAAAGACATAGAACAGGTGTTCTGATTAGCCTGGGTCAGCAGTGTCTCAGTTCATTTGTGCTACTATAACAGAAGTACCTTAGACTGGGTAATTTATGGACAGAAGTGTGTCGCTCACAGTTCTGGAGGCTGAGAAGTCCAAGATCAAGGTGCCAGCAGGTTCCGTGTCTGGTAAGGGCTTGCTCTCTGCTTCATGTGTGGAGCTTTCTTCATCCTCATGTGGCAGAAGGAGGGAGCACGCTCCCTCAGGCCTCTTACATGACAGGCACTAATCCCGTTCAGGAGAGCTCGGTTCTCATGACCTAATTCCCTCAGAAGAGCCCCACCTTTTCTTCCTGCACTGGGGGCTAGATTTTAGCATAGGAATTCAGGAGAGACACCACCATTCAGACCATAAACTCACTGAAGACCGAGACCAAGTCACGGGACTATGAAGTGCTCCCCAGCCACACCCCACAGCCACGCCACCGAAGGCCTATTTCCAGCAGTTCCTTCCACCAGTATGTCATGTCAGGCTATCAGAAACAGTACAAAGCATACGAAAAGTCAAGAGACAGCTTAAACAGGCAGGACAAGCATCGAAACTGGGCATGCAGGGATTTCTTAATTATCAAGCAGGAGACTTTAAACAAGTGTGATGAATATGCTAAGAACTCTAATAGAGCGGACAGCATGCAAGAACAGATGGGTGACATACAGAGAGATAGAAATACTAAGAAAGAATAATTATTTTTAAATGCTAGAAAGCAAAAACTAAGAGAAATGAAGAATGTTTTTGATAAGCTTATAGACTGCAGACAATTGAAGAAAGAATCTCTAAACTGAGGATATATCAAGAGAACTGAAACACAGAGAGAACAAACCTGGAAAGAAGAAGAAAACAAACTCAAGATATTTGAAGGCAGTGGGACAACTATAAAAGGTAAAAATAAGTATGGTAGGAGTAAAAGAAAGAAAAGAAAGAGAGAAAGGAACAAAAGAAGTATCTGAAATAATGACTGGGAATTTCCCAAAATTAATGTAAAACACAAGACCACAGATCCAGGAAGCCCAAAGAACGCTAAGTAGTATAAATCAAACAAACAAGCAAAAACCAAAAGCAATAACAAACCCATCCTAGGCATATCATTCTCCAACTACAGAAAGTCAAAAATAAAGAGAAATATTGTGAGAGAATTGCCCTCACCTACAGCAGAGCAAAGGTGGAGGTTATCTCAGGTCCAGATGTGTTCACTGAATGCTACAGGACATTGAACGGAGGGTCATACCAGTTTGCTATCACCTCTGGCAGAAGATAGAAGCTAAGGGAACATTTCCTAACTCATTAGACAAGGCCAGCGTCACCCTAACACCAAAACCAGACACTGCAAGAGAAAACTACAGGCCAAATGTTTCTCTAGAGCATACATGCAAAAATTCATGAGATTTCTCCCAGGTATACAAGGATGGTTCACTATTTTAAAAATTAATTAATATAATTTATCACATCAACTGGCCCAAGGAGAAAAATTACATGATTATAGCATAGATGTGAAACGAACATTTGACAAAACTAATAAATATTCATGATTTTTTAAAAAAACTTGTGACCAGCAGCTGGCATAATGATTATGTCACTGGACTCCCACGTGGTCAACCGTGATTTGAGTCCCAGACCCAATGGCTTAAAATCATACCAAGTACATGTGTGCTCACACTGGGCATGTATGTATGCCTGCCAAGATTCTGAGAGGAGAATGGAGGAGCAGGGATTGTGGCATGGCCATCCTCCCTTGGGAGTGACTTCCTGCTTTCTAGTTCTCTGTCTCTCTTGTGAGCACACATGCCCTATAGCAAAAATCTCTCTCAAAAACAAACAAACAAACAAACAAACAAACAAAAACCTTTGCAAATGGTAGGGAACTCCCTCAGCTTGATAAAGAATATCTACCGAAAATCTGCAGCTAACATCACACTTAATGCTCAGAGCTAGACTCTTTCCAACTCTTTCCCACTATGACCAAAACAAGGGAAGGATATCCCTCTCATCATCTCTTTTCAATACCATGCTGAAAGTCCTAACTAATTCGATTAGACAAGAAAAGGAAATATAATACACGCTCAATGGGAAGGAAGAAATAAAACTGTTCACAGAAGGCCTAATTGTTTCTCTCTAAAATTCAAAAGAATCAACAACAAAAAATTCTGGACTAATACAAAATTATAGCAAAGTTGTAGGATAAAAAATCAATTTACAAAAGTGATTCACTTTCCTATATACCAGCAATGAACAAGTGGAATTTGCAATTAAACACATAATTGATTTTACATTAGCAACTCCACAATGAAATACTTAGCTATAAGTCCAATATAAAATGTACAAGGGCTATATGAGGAAAGTGTTGTTGAAAAAAATTTTAAATGGAATAAACGGAAAGATATTTCATATTCATAAATAGGAAGAATTGACATTTTCAATATGTCTATTCCTCTCAACTTGATCTATAAATTCAGTGAAATCCCACTGAACATCTCAGAAAGTTATTTCAGATATCAGCAAACTGGAGTTCTTATGGAGAG